CGCCGCGGCTGGGCGCCAGCCTGGATGCGAGGCGGCGTCTTGGAGACGGCGCGGGGCGGGGCGGGGCGGCGTCTGCTCCTCCCGCCTTCCCCGTCCTTCCCCCTCCTCTCCTCTCCCGCCGCCCCTTTCCTCCCCTCCCCCCCTCCTTCGATGCGGTCCTCCAGCGTGCCGGGAACTCCAGGGCCTGCTCCACCTCAGTTCTCTCATCTCCTCACCCCCCTCCTCCTCTGTAGGGTCTCCATGATCTTCCCTCACTTCACCTCACCCTTCTCCTCTCCCCACTTTCCTTCCTCCTCTCTCCATCCTTTCCTCTGCCTCCTCCAAACTAGAAGTAGAAATAGGGAAGATCGTGGTCCAGGTCATCCCAGGCAAAAAGCTGACCTGTTTGTTTTTTCTTTTTTTTTGTCGGTTGTGGGGCGTGAACTCTGGGCCTGGAGGCTGTCCCTCAGCTCTTCAGCTAGCGCTCTACCACTTCCGGCTTTTTTCTTTTTGTTTATGTGGTGCTGAGGAATTGAACCCAGGGCCTCATGCATGCAAGGCAAGCGCTCTACCACTGAGCCACCTTCCGCCTGTTTGAAACATCAACAAAACCTTAAAGGACTGGGGGTTCAAATGGAAGGGCAGAGCACAAGGACCTAAGTTCAAACACCAGAGGAAAAAGGGAAAAGCAGTTGTGAAGAGGAAGGTGAGTGGTAAACTATCAGCTCCCCCTGTATAGAACATTCAAATTTTAAGATACACCAACAGAGCTTTTCCAGGCCAAATATAGCTTTAGGTATGCCCATGTGACCCTAGTCCTCAGCCAATTGGGTGGAACAGACCAGGGGCCAACGAAGTGAAAACACCAAATAAGTTGATAGCACAGAGAATATAGCATTTCCTTTTTATTAACCAATAGTGTGTATATGCATGTGGCTAGTACTGGGACTTGAACTCTGGGCCTGGGCACTGTCCCTCAGCTCTTCAGCTCAAGGCTACCACATGAGCCACAGTGCCACCTCGGGCTTTTTCTGCTTATGTGGTGCTGAGCAATTGAACCCAGGGCTCATGCATGCAAGGCAAGCGCTGTTATCACTGAGCCACCTTCCCAGCCCTGTCCCTTAGCTTTTGTGCTCAAGGCTGGCCCTCTACCATTTGAGCTACAGCTCCACTTCTGGCTTTTTGGTGGTTAACTGGAGGTCAGATTTTTCTGCCCAGGCTAGTTTCAAATGTCCATCTTCAGATCTCAGCCTCCTGAATAGCTAGAATTATGTGCATGAGCCACAGGTACCTGACTTAACCTGCAGCAGTTTTTAAAGATACACTTCTGTCGGGCGCTGGTGGCTCACGCCTGTAATCCTAGCTACTCAGGAGGCTGAGATCTGAGGATCGTGGTTGAAAGCCAGCCCTGGCAGGAGAGACCGTGAGACTCCTATCTCCAATAAACCACCAGAAAACCGGAAGTGGCGCTATAGCTCAAGTGGTAGAGCGCTCGCCTGGAGCTGAAGAGCCGAGGGAGCCCCAGGACCGACAAAAAAAAAAAGATACACTTCTAAGGGATGGGCTGTAGCTCAGTGGCAAAGTACTTGCCTTGCAAGTACAATGTTCTGGTTCAATCCCCAGTACCACAAAAGGGAAGACCCCCCCCCTCACCAAAGATGTACCTTCAATATTGTAATATATTGCTGTGTAAATGTGCTCAAAATAATCTGGAGATAAAAATATGTATTTCTAACAGAAATAGAGGCATATCTAAATTATAGCATTTAAGCAAGATCTTCATTTTGAGTAAACATGACAATTTCAAATGAACAAAACCAATAATACATAGCATACATTCATTTTATACTTAAAAAACTAAGCTTAAGAAAAATGAGAAATGAGGTAGTCATACCAAATGAGTAATATTTTGACATTCTAGTAAATAGAAGATTGTAGAAGAGCTAAGAAAAAGAAAGCTGAGGCATTCCAAAGAGGGGGAAAAAAAGCTGAGGCATTTCAATAACCTTAGGGAAAAATAAAAGAGAAAGCAAAAATATATTCAAGATGTATTTTAAAAACTTTTTGACATGCACCCAGTGATATAATAAAACATAGTACAACCAATAGCATAAAAAGGAAAGTAGAGTCCATGTTTTTCCTTTCGTTAGCCCTAGTCACTTTGTTTCCTCCTCACTTGTCCTTCTTATTGTGAATCACTTTTAGTTATTTCAAGTTGTTAAAGATGAATTGAAGGGATAGCAATGGTGTGCTTTCCTTGCAACTACTAGGTTCAATCTCCAGCACCACAAACACATACATACATAAACGCATTCAAAAAGTAGAACACCAAAATTGTGCTTTTCACTTTGTGCATTTGGATAAAGTTGATATGTTGTGGTTACTAAGGAAAATAACAGACAGGAATTCAATCCATAAACTACAAAAAAAAAAAAAAAAGACCTGACCATGTAGTCATTTGCAAACCTGCCACACACAGAATCCCATGCTGGACATCATCCAAAGCTTTTTATTTGGCAGATTTGAGGTAAGAATTTTTTTGTGCCAGTACTAGGGCTTAAACATAGGTTCTGCCCCTGAGCTTTTTTGCTCAAAGCTAGCAAACTACCACTTGAGATACAGTTACATTTCTGGCTTTTTTGATGCTTAATTGGAGATAGGAGCCTCACAGACTTTCCTGCCTTGGCTGGCTTTGAACTACAATCCTCAGATCTCAGCCTTGTGAGATTCTGAGCTAGGATCACAGGCAGGAGACACAAGTACCTGGAAGGTAAGATTTTTTTTTTTAATGAATTTCCAGTGATGATGATGATGATTGCTTGAAGCACACTCTGAGCACCAGAGCTCTAATTGAAAAAGTTCTCAAAAGATCAATGAAGATCTAGCTAGACACTAGGGGGAAATGGTATCTTCTTGTATATGTTTTTCAGGACATATAACAGTTCTAAGTTTATCATCTGCTCAGTCCTTGTCTTAAGAACACACATGATCTTATTTCAATTGTTTCTTAAACCATTTCTTTTGGTGTGTGGGGGTATGGTGCTGGACACTTGAACCAAGGGCACTGAACTATACCCTCAGCCCAAACTAATTACTATAAAAACAAACAGTAGGCATAAAAAAGAATTCATCTGGCAAATGTGCTGTTTGTAGATATTAGCCACTTTTAAAGAACATATTTATATTAAAATTATATCTAAATTCTTAGATATAGAACACCTGATTATCTGGACCCAGCTAAAATTTTATTTTACAGACTGAAATTTGTGGGTAAAAATGCACTACAGTAATTAATGAAGCCGTTCTAATTTTGCTTGAAGGGATTTAAAATTCCCAGTAATAGCTTGTACAGTTGCTGAAGAACTCATTGATTGAAGTTCAACCAGATACCCACAAACAGCATCCAGGCATAGATGTGTAAATCTTCTTCTGTAAACGAAAAGACACCTAGTCAATATCTGTACATTTAGAATCATTTCCTTTTAGAGGGTTTTCTACCAACTTCTGATACTCTTATTGTCTCATAAAAACTCCAGGATAACCTGACTAAATAGCAATACTTGAAAACAGAGACAGAAACTTTGATAGGAAGTCATTTACCACCTAACCATTTTTCCATTTGAAGATTATAGTGAGGATTCTTCCTAATATTAATTTATTTACATTCTTTTGCCTTTTCCAAAAGAATAATTCTTAAAATAGCAATGAGATCACAAAGACATAATTGAATTGCTTTAATCATAGGTTATTAATTCAAAGCAGAATTTGTGTGTGTATATGTATCTGTCCTGAGGCTTGAATTCAGAGCCTGGGCACTATCCTTGAACTTGCTCGAGGCTACTGCTCCACCACTTAAGCCACAACTCAACTTCTGGCTTTTTTGGTGGTTAACTTGAGGTAAGAGTCTAACAGAGTTTCCTGCCTAAGCTAACTCTAAACTGTGATTATCAGATCTCAGCCTCCTGAGTACCTAACTAGGAATACAGGTGTGAGCCACTGGTGCCTGACAAGAAATTTCTAACTACTTAATAAATTGTGTTCACTTGTAAAAAGGACTTAGGACAATGGTTAAAAATCTTTTTCTTTTCTCCAAATATTTCTTTATTGAGATTAAGTGACTACATAAATTTCACAATACTATGGCATAGTTATACTTAGCTAAAGTCACAAACATATTTTAACCTTCACAATGAAAATCATCATTACCTATCTTTCATATATGCAGATGCACATCATCTGAATAGTCATTGCTAATGTACTTAAGCCTTTAAATCCCCTATACATCTTCAAGACTCCTGTATCTTCCTATACTGTCTCCAAATTCATTACCCAGGTTATTTACAGAAACATTTAAAGCTTTTGAATACAATAATAAATTTTTTGAATACAATAATAAATTCATAGTTACCTTTCACAATTTACAACGTGGCTAGGATTCTCCACATATTTTGTTAAAAGTACATGGATACAATCCAAAAGATGCAATGGTTTTTTTACTCTGTTCCAGAATGGATCCTACAAAGAAAAAAATAAATATATATCCTTAAGACTCTTATCTCCAATTAACTATTAAAAATTTGGAAGTGGAGGTATGTATCAAGTAGTAGAATGCCTGAGTTCAAGCCCCCGTATTGCACACCTTGTCCTACCTCCATTAAAAAAGGGCCTTGAAAAGGATACTATGAGCCGGGCACCAGTGGCTCATGCCTGTAATTATAGCTACTCAGGAGGCTGAGATCTGAGGATCACGGTTCAAAGCCAGCCAGGGCAGGAAAGTCTGGGGACTCTTATCTCCAATAAACCACCAGAAAACCAGAAGTGGTGCTATGGCTCAAGAGGTAGAGCACTCGCCTTGAGCTAAAGAGTGCAGGGACAGTGCCGAAGCCCAGAGTTCAAGCCCCACAACTGACCAAAAAAAAAAAAAAGGACACATTGGAAGTGGCGCTGTAGCTCAAGTGGTAGAGCGCTCGCCTTGAGTTGAAGAGCTGAGGGACAACGCCCAGGCCCAGAGTTCAAGCCCCATGACCAACAAAAACAAAAAAAAAACAAACACAAAAAAAAAGGACACTATGAACTGAATATATGGGGCATATGACTGTGATCCTAATTCTCAGATGACTTTAAGCAGAAAAATACTGAGTTCTAGGCCCATGCAGACTACATGGCAAAACACTATCTCAGTAAAAGAAAAACTAAAGGGGCTGGGAAAGTGGCTCAGTGGTAGAGCGCTTGCCTTGCATGCTCAAAGCCCTGGGTTCGATTCCTCAGCACCACATAAGCAAAAAGAAAAAGCCGGAAGTGGCACTGTGGCTCAAGAGGTAGAGCGCTAGCCTTGAGCTGAAGAGCTGAGGGACAGCGCCCAGGCCCAGAGTTCAGGTCCCACGACCGGACCCAAAAAAAAAAAAAGAAAAAGAAAAACTAAAATCAACAGCAAAGAGTAATAAGAGAAAGAGAAAGAAGAGCAGTAGCATTGTTTGATGCTGTTATAAAAACCAAGTCAAATTAAATGGAGTTTTAAATTTTCGATATAATTCAATATATTTGATGTTTTTGGTGAAGTTATTTGGAACAAACACATTGATATTTTGTTCTTAAATAGCAAACCCTACATTTGATCCTTAATAATGAAAAAAATTACTAGCTAACAATTCTTTTTTTTCTTGGCACTGATATGTGAAATCATAGTTTCATGTTTGAGTTTCATGCACTCTACAACTTGAACTATGGCCCCAGACTTGACAACTCTTAATATTGTAGATTTAAGCCATATCTTGGTTTAGCCTATTCTACAAAGAGCAAGTATATATAGTTACGTATATAAATATTAAAAATATTAGCATTTCATTTTAATGATAAATGCCAATGCAACTTTCATCAGTTTAAAATCCTTAATGTATAATTTCCAATACTTAACCAACAAGTACCTGTTCAAACTATTTAGATATCTATAACATGTAACCAAAATACTTCACACAAAAAAATTTAAAAAAAAGAAACCCAAAATACCTCACACTATATCTAGAAAAAAGTTCTTTTACAGAAATTAATTTTATCACATTTAATATTTTCCTTACCCGTGATTTGAACAGTTGATCATAAACTTCTAGTAGTCGAGGTAATGGTACTCCAATTTCATTCATGGTCTGTATAACAAAGCCCACATCCCAGTTCAAAGTACAAACCTGCTGCTCTAAAAATTGTATAATAAAATCTAGGAAAGGAAAAAGAACAATTTTTTTTTCATTCTTGACACTAAAAGGTAGCTCTTATTCATAATTGAGTAATTTCTAGAGAAAAATCTTTTTTTTTTTATTTTGAAAATACTGTACAGAGGGGTTACAATTACATGGGCAAGATTAATGAGTACATTTCTTATCAAGCATTGCAGCTTCCTCCTTTGTTTCCCCTTCCCATCCTCCCTCCTTTGTTTCCCCTTCCCATCCTCCCTCGAAAATCTTCTTAAACTCAAAAACAATTTTTAGGAGCTGGAGTTATAGAATGGTGGCAAAGTACATACTTAGTATACACAAGGCCCTACATTCAGTCTTCAGCACCCCAAACAAAAAGAAAATTAAGACATCTACCAGAATAGGCAGTATAAACCACAGGACAGAGATTAGTGGCTGCCTATGGCTGGAGGGTGAGAGAGAATGGGAAGAGACAAAGGTAAAGGATTGCATTTTGGATGATGAAAACATCCTCAAATTAAATTATGATAATAGACCTACAAGTTTGTGATACGTTAAATCCATTAAATTATACATATTAAAGGTACTAAGAAGAAACTTTGACATCTTAAAAAACTTAGAAGACATAAAAGCTACAAGAAAAACAAAGAGAATGGAAATGTCATAGTGTTATTATAAAGGTGATGGTTACAGTTACATAGTCAGATAATGACTATACTTCTTTTTGTTTTGTTTTAGTTTTTTTTTTGCCAGTCCAGGGGCTTGAATACAGGGCCTGGGCACTGTCCTTGAGCTTCTTTTGCTCAAGGCTAGCACTCTACCAGTTGAGCCACAGCAGCATCTTCTGGCTATTTCTGTTTATGTGGTGCTGAGGAATCAAACCCAGGGCTTCATGCACTCTAGGCAAACACTATCACTAAGATACATTCCCAGCCCAGAACACTTCTTTTGGGACAATGTTACTCCTTCCTTCTCTCTTTCTCAGTTTTTCCCTCCCATCCCCAGCCACATTTTCAATACAGTTAAGTACCACTGCTACATTTATTCACCCTTGTTTTTTTAAATAATTTTTAGTAACACAAAACTGCTAATATTTAATTCATTGATGCATTTTTGTTGCTTCTATTTTATGACTGCAGAAAATTATAAATTGGTAAATGGCTTAAAATAGTTACCTATGTTCTATTATATATATATATTCATATATACATTTATGTATATATGTATATATAGTAACAAGGTTATGAAAGTGACTAAAGCCAAGTGCATGTCTGTAGTTCATATCTGTCAATCTAGCTATATTAGAGGCTAAGATTGTTGGCATCACTGTATGAAACCAGCCTAGGTAGCAAAAGTTCATGAGACGCCTTTTTCAACAAGGCTAAATGCGGTGGTATACATCTGCTATTCTAGTTACTGGGAAGCCTAACATAAGAGGACAACACCCAGGCAGGAAACAAATACGGTATGTAAAAAATAATGAGCAAAATGAGGACTCTCTCCGTATATTATCTTTAAAACAATTTAAAAAAACAAACAAGCAACATGATCAACAACAACAACAAATCAAGATGGGACTTGACTGGAGGGATGGCTTATCAGTAAGAGTACCTGCTTATCAAGCCTAAGACCTTGAGTTCAAAACTCCATACTTGTGTGTGTGTGTGTGTGTGTGTGTGCGCGCGCGTGTGTGCGCGCACACACACACATGTATGCACATGCACACCAGTCCTGGTACTTGAACTCAGAGCCTAGGCACTAAATTTGAGCTTTTTTTTGCTCAAGTCTAATATTCTATCTTTTTTTTTTTTTTTTGTCGGTCCTGGAGCTTGAACTCTGAGCCAGAACACTGTCCCTCAGCTCTTCAGCTCAAGGCGAGTGCTCTACAACTTGAGCTACAGCGCCACTTCTGGTCTTCTGGTGGTTTATCGGAGATAACCGGACTTTCCTGCCCAGGCTGGCTTTGAACTGTGATCCTCAGATCTCAGCCTCCTGAGTAGCTAGGATTACAGGCATGAGCCATCAGCGCCCGGCTAGTATTCTATCATTTGTAAAATTCCATAAAAAAAAAACAAACCCAAAGATGGACATAGTGGTACAAGCCTATAATCCTAGCACTCCAGGAGGCTGGGACAGAAAGATTGTTAAACTCAAGAACCTAATGGGCTATGTAATGAGCCTATCTGAAAAGACAGACACAGACACAGACACACACACACAAAACACAGACACACATATACACACAAGGTTGGTTATCTAATTCAGCAGTAGAATGTTTGCTTGTTCTTGGCTTTATCTCTAGTATGGGAGGAAAGAGGGAGGTAGAGAAAATATGATTGCAGACGATGGTACAGAACTGTGATCTCTGCACTCAGGAAGCTGGCCAAGAAGACTGTGAAGATTGAGGCCAGTCTGGGTTATACAGCAAGCCTATCTTAAAAATAAATTAAGTTAAATCAATGGAAGGAAAAATTAACTCAACATAATAGAGATTAGTTGAAGTAATCACAAATTGCTCATTCCTTTAAACATCAGCCATTTTTCTTTCCTCTTCAATAATTGTATTGGGTTATCCAACGGCATAGTCACTTATAGTTTGTTAGTCAACACAAACCTCAAATAGACAAATGAACTTAGAAAGCTAGTAGAAACTAGTTTTATTCTCAAAAAACTATGCTATTCTACAGGGATTTTTCTTTCTGTGAAGAAAACTAAAAAGACAACAAAACTCTCCATTATTGGGCATTTACCCAAATGTTTACAAACAAGACCACACTAAAGCTACCA